CAACACGGCAAAACGGCACCAGTAACAAGAACGGCCCTGTCGTTTCCAGGGCCCACCAAGGAGGAGGAGGGAGGAGGAGGAGGAGGAGGAGGATGGAGGAGGAGGAGGAGGGAGTAGGAGTAGGAGGAGGAGGAGGAGGAGGAAGGGGGAGGAGGGAGGAGGAGGAGGAGGAGAGGAGGAGGAGGAGGAGGAGGAGGAGGAGGAGGAGGAGGAGGGCCCGGGTAACAAGAAGGGCCCGCCCTCGTGCCTTGGTCGTGCTGCGGGGCGGCCCCCGGGGCGCCCTGGCGAGGCCCCCCCCCCCCGCGGAGGCCGTGCACCGCCCGGGGGGGGGGGGCCTCGCGCCGTTGGCCTCGCGCCGCGGCGCGGCCGTCCTTCGTCGCCGTCCTTCGTCGCCGTCGTTTTTCGTCGTCGTCGTTTTTCGTCGTCGTCCGTCGTCGTCGTCGTCGTCGTCGTCGTCGTCGTCGTCGGTCGTCGTCGTCGTCGTCGTCGTCGTCGTCGTCGTCGTCGTCGTCGTCGTCGTCGTCGTCGTCGTCGTCGTCCGTCGTCGTCCGTCGTCGTCATTTGAAAATCAGGACAGGGGCTTTTGGCCAATCTTCGCCTCGGGGGGCCCTCGCCAGGCCTGAGGACGGTCAACAAAACGACTCGCAGGATGCAAAGCGCCGGTCCCGGGGAGAGAGGGTCGGGACTTCCAGGGACCCCGTTTGGAAGAAATCAGGACGTCGCACGCTTGGGTGCGCAAGCCCCGACCTCCCCGAAGGGGACCGAGAGGGGGGGGCCTGGCCCAGGGTGGGAAACACCGGCCTGCAAGCGGCGATACCGCGCCGCTAGAGATCGGCGGCAGGAGCCCGATGGCGAAACCACATGCTCCGGGGCGGGATGGGCTATGCCAGGCCGCTATGCAGCCGAACCTGTGATACAGAAAATTGCCACTTAAGACAACTGGGCCAGCTTCCCGGAAACTGCTCGGAGCAAGCCTGGGGGCGAGATTCTGTTAGTTGGAAGCGCTGGAGGGGCGAACGTGCTCCCGAGACTGGGCCAGCTATATCAGATCGGTTGGCTAAGACACGCCAGCCCAGCTCTTCGGGATGAGGTTTCTGTAACCAGATGCTCGGCTGTGCACCAGGCCCCTAAATTGCACATGAATGGGCGGATCGGGGTCGATGCTTCCCCCCCCTAGAGGCCCCCTAGATGGGGTCGGAGTAGATGGGGTCGGAGGATCGCACCGCATAGCCGATACATCGGCGATGCATCGGCGATGTATCGGCGATGCACCGGCGATGCATCGGCGATGTCGGCGGTACATCGTCGACGCCAGAGCGAAGAACATCGGGCTCCACATCGAGCCGCATCGCCGATGCGGCGCGATCCTCCGACCCCATCTACTCCGACCCCATCTAGGAGCCCCTGAGCCCCCGAGCCTGCCCTGTGATGGCTTCCGGGCCGTAGCCTGGGAGACGGGCGGCGGTTCGGGCCGCTCGGTGCGATTATCTCGGGGCATCCCTGGAACGCCCTCGGCGAGGCGCGGCAGCTGCGCAGGGGCATCCCGCGGCTGGAAGACTGCAGGGTAACCGGCGGAAGCGCCAGAAACCTTCCTGCCCCCCTACTGCGTATGTTCAGTGGGAAAAATAACCCGATCCCAGAAAACCACCACCACCACCCCCCCGACAACCCGTGCTGATGACCACAGCATGACCCACCTGGCACAGCACCTATTGGACAACCCAGCGGGGATCCGGCCCCCCTCAGACAGCCCCCCTTGGACGAGCCTCGTCGGGATGTTCTCCCATAAGATATAGTAAGCCTACCCCCCATTCCACATTGCCCCTAACCCCCATCAGCCGGCGGCTGCCCCCGGCCGCTGGTGCACCACTCCCCCTGTCTCCTCCCTCACAGCGTGGAGGCGCCTGGAGGACTTGGGAGCTCCCTGAAGGCTTCCAGAGGCCCAACAGGAGCCGAAAACAGCCAGAAACCTTGATCCACGTCGACCCTCGATCCACGCCGACCCTCCTTCTCCGAACGACGACAACGACGATGACGACGACGACGACGACGACCAACCATGATCTCCTCCGCGCGCAGCAGTCCTCCTGTTCCCCCCTACCGATGCCTCAGGCGTCTGAGGGGAGCCGGTGCGGCGCAAGAAGCGCTGCACCCCTCGGGATCTGGTTTTGCCGCGGCACGCCGCGAGTGCGAGGTCGGGGGCTCCTCTCTTTTGATGGGCCTGTTTTCCACCACCACCACCAGAAGTTGGAGGGGGATGGGGGTTCTCCTCCTCCTCCTCGCCCTCCTCCTCCTCCTCCACCTCCTCCTCCTCCATCTCCTCCTCGTCCTCGACCTCCTTTCCCCCTCTCCAACTTCTGGTGGTGGTGGTGGAAAACAAGCCCATCACTCCTCTCTTTGAGTCTACGGTCGGGAACTTTTGCTTAGCATGTCGCACATCGGTGGCCCCGGCGACACGCTACACCCTGCGAGCGACTAACGCGTCGCTCCGTCCCGCGAGGCGGGGGGCCGGGAGAAACTCGGGACGTTGGCGCTTGGGCACTGGGATGTCGTCAGCGTGTCGCGCTGAAGCGTGGTGGGCCAAAACCGGAGGCGCGACACGCTAAGCAACAATTCCTATCCGTAACAACCCCAACTTGCCCGGTGGGGAAAGCCTCAGAGACCGAGGTCTTCGAAGCTCAGTGCGCTGGCGGGATGCCCCCGCCCCGCTCCCCGCCGTCTGCTCCTTCTGTGGTACCTCATCGGTGCCTCCCACGTCATCTTGCTGGCTCTTGCGACTCGACGCTAACCGACGCTAAACGACGCTAATCGACACTACGTCGACGCTAAAAACGGTGCCTTTTCAACATTAACCAGACGCTAGCGAACGCTCAAGCACTCTGAGGACGGAACTCCGAGGACGTACAAGGCTCGCACGAGTTGCTGCCGAATGCACCCTGGCCCGAGACTGCTTCTCGGCGTGTCGCCGCGGCGGCCCCGTCGGCACTCCCTGCCCTGCGACCGGATGGCGTGACGCCCCGCTCCGCGCGGCGGGAAGCTCGGAAAGGCTCGGGCCGAGGACCTGCTGACCTCCTCCTCCTCCTCCTCCTCCTCCTCCTCCTCCTCCTCCTCCTCCTCCTCCTCCCGGGTCAGCCCAAACCCGGGTCGGCGCCAGGCTCTGCAGGACCCGGCAAGCTCCTGCCAGATATCCTGCCAGGGCTCCTGCACCCCGGCCCGGGGCAGTGCCCCCCCTCTCGGGCACCTGCAGGGCTCCCTGCAGCAGCCGGCGCCCCCCCATCGGGCATCTGCAAGATCCTGCAGCATCCCCAGACCCCCTCGAGTAATGAAAAAATCATGACGGGAGGTTTTTCCTAATTTTCGGCCTCCGGGGGCCCTCACCGGGCCTCGGGAGCCTCAAAAAACGACTCAGGATGCAAAGCCGGTCATGGGGAAAGGGTCAGGACCTCTGGGGGTCGACGTAATGAAAAAATCATTACGTCGGGGGTCTGGGTCCGGCGCTTTGGCTGACCCCCCGTTTGCGCTCACCCCCGTCTCTCGAGCCCCGCTCGGCGCGCCGGTGGGCCCGGGGGCGGGGAGGTGGTCGGCGCGTCGCTCCGCAGCGCGGAGCGGGCGGAGCGGCACGCCAAGGCGGAGCTCCCCACCGCCAAGGCCCGACGAGGCCCCTTCCAGGACGCTCCCAGGGACGCCCCAGCACGCCCCCCAAGACCTCCTCCATGCTCGACCCTCCTCCCCTCCTCGATCCGCGGTCAGTTGCTGCTCGATCCCCCCTCCTCCTTCGATCCTCGATGCTCCATCATGCTCGATTCTTGCTCATCGATCCTTCGATGCTCGATCCCCCTCCTCCTTCGATCCTCGACGCCCCCTCGACCTCGACCCTGTGTCCTTCGATGCTGTTTCCTCCCTCCTTCTTGGATCCTCCATGCTCCATGGCATTGCCCCCGAGCCCCTCCGCGCGTCGCGCGGCGTCTCTAACCAGCCTCGGACTGACCCCTATCCCTGAGGTTGGCATGCCCAAGAGCGATGGCACTCTCAGAGACGCGCCCTCGGGAACCGAGGAGATCCTCGAGGTGGGCATCGATAGAAGAAGAAACGACGCCATACACCTAAACTTTTGGCGCTCCGCGGGCCCCCCTCCCTGGCGCGCGGAGCGCGCCAGGGGCGGCGCTGGAGGCACCGCCGGAGCGCGGACGCAAGAAATCTGCGAGGAGCGCCACAGGGTTGTGTTCATAGCGCTTTTTCGAATCGGGACAAGACGATGCCAGCCCCAGGGATGGGCATAGGCCCCGGGCTGGCCCTCAGAAGTCTCGACCCGTTCCCCGGGTCCGGTTTTTGCTCCTGAGTTGTTGTTTTAAAGGGGCCCCAGAACACACACACACACACAAATAAATACGCACAAATAGTAAAAATATTCACCATATTTCTCCATATTTTCTGGGTTTTTGTCTTCCCCCCCACTTCCCATATTTTCGCATGTTTTCCTGGGGATCGACAATTAATTGTGTCTGTGTGTTTTTTCCCCTCCTGATGTTTGACAGTCCCGAGGCCCGGCACGTGCCTCCAGGGGCCAAAAACATGGAAAAGCCTCCCGGCGTGATCTCCCCGCTGCCCGGGGGGGGTCTGGGCATGGGCCCAGGCCCCAGGCTGGCGTGACGGCCTACCAGACCACGCCAACCCAACCCGAAGACCCGAATTGGACCCGAATTTCGGGTTGGGGGGGGGGGTACGGGCTCCATGTGTTTCTTTTCAATGTCCCCCGACCCCCCCCACTGGAAATCGAGGATAGATTTGGGCCTTCGGGATGGGTTGGGGTGGTTTGGTTTGGCGGCGCGCACAAGAGGGTAGGGGGAGGGGGGAAGGCTTCTTAGACGGAGGCTGCTTCTTAGAAGGCGCCGGCCTTACATCTACAAAGAAGGCCCGCGCCTTCGAAGAAGCAGGGGTGCTTCTAAGAAGCCCTTCCCCCTCCCCCCACCCCCCTCTGCGCGTGGCTGAGGCTCCTTGACCTCCTGGCTCGGCAGCTTCGCCACCGCCGCCGGCACGGCCCGCGGCGAGCGGCTGCGGGGCCGCGGCGCCTCCGCGGGGGGCGCGGCGGCCTCGGGAGGTCCGGGCGGTGGCGAGCGTGTTCCCGCGCGTGCGCGCGCGGCGCGCCGCTGGATGGGCCGATCTCCCACCACCACCACATGCAGGAGAGGGAGGAGGAGGAGGAGGAGGAGGAGGAGGAGGAGGAGGCGGAGGAGGAGGAGGCGGAGGAGGAGGAGGAGGAGGAGGAGGAGGCGGAGGAGGAGGAGGGGGGGATTGGCCCATCACCTCTCACTGGGGCGTCGACGGGGGCAGCTACGGTGAGGGTGCCCCTGGCCCTGGGGGCACCTTAGGCCAGGGGCACTTCTAGCAACACCCGTAGTGGGTGATGTAAGGTGACGGCTGCAAAAAGAATGCGGGGGGGGGGGGGAGATTTACAGCAAAGTCTCCGAGTCTTCGGCTTCCGCTTCGCCTCGGCTGTCTCTTCTAATCATCGTCCCGGGCACCGCCGCGTGGACAAGAAGCATCTAGAAAAAAAGGATCCAGGGTCTGGAAGCCGGAGCACCAAGTGAGGCCTGGTCATGGATATCACCAACGCCCTCATCAGGTAATGACTCCTGCAAAGTTTGAAGCCTCCTGGGCACATTCCTCGTAGAACGCCCCCACCGTGCTGTCAAGTGTTCTACTGCCGCAAACTGCTGCTTGGCGACGGTCCAACCTGAAAACGCCCCAGATGCGAAAGACTGATTTTGGTGATCTTTCCTTTGGCGACGGCGCCTCTAGTGATGCCCTGTGCGTCGAGATCTGGCGAGGGGCTGGCAAAATACTCGCTCGCTATCGGGAACCTGCTTTTCGCCTTGGTTCTTCTTAAAACGCCCAGGGCGCTTTTTCGTTTTGAACCGCTTTGGTGCTCTTGGCAAGCAGAAAAAGCACGAGACGTTGCTGTACGTTTTCAGCTGCTTGACGACGTGGAGCTTCTCTGTGGCCCACTGGAGCTGCTCTGTGAGCTTATCCACCTTCGCCCGAAGCTTGCACCGCTCTGCCTCGCCGTTCCGGAACCGAGCGCAGCACGTCCGCGGGCGACATGGTGGCGCGCTCTGCTGCCTCGGCTTGGGCGAGCTCCGCCCTGGCCGCCAACGCGAGCTGGCGCTTGTCATCACAGATGCTCCGCAGCGCCCTCAGAGCCTTCGTGCACATCGCCACGGTGTTGGACTCCACGCCGCTGGGCCCATCCATGTGCGCGTCGTCCTCCCCAGCGCCGCCCCGAGCAGCACGATCATGACCAGCACCTGCAGCGCGGGGCCTGCCAGCCCAGCGCGGCCGGGCTGGCTGGCGGGCGCCCCTCGCGCCCGCGGGCCTGCCTCGGCGGTCCCTGCCGCAGGCCCAGCGGCACTCGCGGGACTCGACGCTTAATGGCGAACCCGCAGGGCCCGCGCGGCCACGCACGCCCACGTGGCCCCTCCGCTGGGCCGGGGCCGCCCCACTCGCCGCCGGGCGCCCCGAGCTGCGGGGCCCTCTGCCGCATGGCCTCGCCGTGGTGGCCGGCCAGAGCCCTGCCGGCCTCCGCCGCGCGGACGGCCCGGCGGGCCGAGCGAGGCTCTCCGCCGCCGCCGCCTCCCGCGCCGGGCTGGCGGCGGCGAGCGGCGGAGCAGTGGGCCCGCCGCCGCCAGGACGCACCGGCGCCCGCAGCGGCCCCGGGCCGCCAGCACCTGGGGCGCGCGGATCTGCCGGCCGCGCGCCCCCGCGCGCGCGGGGGCCCAGACGGCGCCTGGAGGAGGAGGAGGAGGAGGAGGAGGAGGAGGAGGAGGAGGAGGAGGAGGAGGAGGACCAGTGTAAACCCAAGGGTCATCAACGATGCTGGAATAAACCCTCCCTCCAAGCTCCTCATCAGAGGCCCTTACAGCGGTTCATGTCCATTGAAGGAACTGCCTCTTTGGAAGACAGCCGTTTGAAGACCCTGAAGCATGCCAAAACATTGTTCTCGGGATTCCAATGCCACGGATCAACCTGACTGTTGCGTCTTGACAAATCTGAATCGCGTCAAAACGCCATTCCTGGGACTTCAACACAGCAAATGAACAGAACTGTTGCACACGCATAAACCTGAATCCGTTCAAAACACCATGTCTGGCACGCTGATGATGGGAATCCGTGAAACCCATGCAATTTCTTATAACGAATGTGTGCCGCGCTAACGCGAGAACCACATTTTGAAAAAGCACCGCCCTCAATCCGTGAAGTTCTTTCAATTTTGTAATGCGCGCCGCGCTAAAGCTGCCCTCAATATGTGAAACTTTTGCACAACTTTGAAAACGAACGTGCGCCGCGCTAAGGCGAGAGCCACATGTTGAAAACGGCCCGCCCTCAATCCGTGGAATTGTTGTTAATTCTGCAGCTTCAGAATCAAGAATGGTGAGGACGTCTCAGGCGAAACGCCTGGCCCGTTACAAACTGGCCTCGGGGTGTGACAGGGCGAAGTTATCTATAGGATAAGCAAGGAGGAGGAGGAGGAGGAGGAGGAGGAGGAGGAGGAGGAGGAGAGGAGGAGGATGATAATGAGCATGAGGAGGAGACAGAGTGAGGAGGAAGAGCAGACGATGTGTGAGGGTGCAGGGGGGGGCCCTCTCTTCTCTATATGAATCCTACTGTCCTCTATCCCGTGCAACTGGCGGGGAGTGGCCCTGCCCCTCCGCTAACAGGTTTTCTTACGCACAGGAGTTACGTGTTTTCCATCGGAGCGTCTTCGGTGACTCAAGATGATGGTGCCGCTGCAGCGTAGCGTTGGCCTTATTTTAGGATCGGCACTCTACGCACGTGGTTCAGAATGGCGCTCTCGCCCCAACACGGTTTTTCTGGATCCGAGTCCGTCCTCATCGCTGTCGCCACCTCCTTTCCCCCCTTCCCTCTTTCCCTGGTCCCTGGTCATCCTGCTCCTCCCGCTCCTCCCAATCCAATTTCCGCTGCTGATGCTCTTCCTCGTCGTCCTATGTTCTCCTCCTCTTCCTCACTGTCCTCCTGCTCCTCCTCTTGCTCATCGGCCACCTCGTCCTACGTTGTATATGCGCAGCTCATGCGCAGCTCCTTTTTCCCGATTGCGCATAACACAATGGGGTCTGCCTGGGGAGTTCCATGCCCGCTATGACACGCGCCCGATTATGATAGAGAATCACCAACGCAGTGGGAACGCTGGGTGGGCGGGGGAGGACTTCGGATACGGCGCGCGCGCGCACCTAGCTGAATCACCTCTTTAAACTTACACGCTATGAATGAGTACTACTCCCCTCTCCACCCTGAATGCGTCGGCAAGGTGTCCCGCCCTCCGCGCGTGCTGCTTGGCACACACAGAATTCGGGCAAAGGCATGCCGTCTGTTTGCCATGCGTCTTGCAAACGAGCCGATGGTTTTCGGTGCTTCCCAGTTCGTGTTCCCAGGGAGAGGTCCGGGGAGCAGCGGTATGGGCACCTCTTGGCGTCCCTAAAGTGCCAGATCGTGTTCTCCCGCTTTGAGACCCCTCTTGGAGCCCTCCTGTTGTTCTCTGGGGCAGACTCGGGGGCGTTCTGGTCGGCGCTCTGCTGCCGTCGTTAAAGCATGGCAGTCTCGCGCCCCTGCGCGGGCCACGCTTCTGGATCCGCATCCCTTTCCCAGCGCTGCCCCGCCCCCCCCTTTCCCCTCCTCTGCCTTCTCTTGAGCTGGGACCGACCGTCCCGGCATTTCCATAGGCCTACCACGACATTATCTTAGAACCCACGAATGTTCTAATAACAAATATTCTTAGAGCATAAACCCGATGCGTTGAAACAAGACAGGCTCAGCCAGAAATGTTCCAACATGTTGTGTAAGCCACAAAAGGTTCTTAGATCATTCTTTGGTGGCCCTATAGGCGAGCCAAGACGCTTCGCCACTGCTTGATTCTCGTGGTCCTCCTGCGCCCTCCCGCTCCTTTTGCACTCCGGATCCAGCACCTGCTGCTCGTCCTCGTCCTCCTCCCTCATCCTCCTCACTCGGGGGCGCGCAAACATGGATGGATTAGCGATCGATGGATTTCGCGCGCGGTCGCCAAATCCATGGATCGAGAGAGGTGCCCTCCCCAAAATGCGGCCGGCGCCGCCTCGTTCGGCGGCGGACATCCGCAATGCTCCTTGGACATGGGACCGGTCGCTAATCCACGCTCCCTTGATCCATGTTTGCGATCGCCTGACCTTCCTCCTCCTCATTCTTTTCCTCATGCTCAGCTCCTCCATTTCCCGATGGCGTATAATTCGCGCGGGTCTTTTCTGGAAGTTCCGGGTCCGCTAGGACACGCGTCCGCGGATCGAGAGAAGAGAATCCGCGCAATGGGAAGGGACGAGTGGGAGGCACAGGGTGTCAAATTCGGTGCGAGCGAACCTAGCTTGCCCCTGTTCTATCTCCTCTCTCTCTTCTCTCTTGTTTCTTCTCTCCTCTCTGCTATCTTCTGTCTACTCTTCCTCCTCCACCTCTCTGCTCTTCTATCCATCTCTCCCCTCCTCTCTCCTCATCTCTCCTCCTCTCCTCATCTGTCCTCCTCTTTCCTCATCTCTCCTCCTCTCTCCTCCTCCCCTCCTCTCTTCTCAGCACTCCTCCTCATCATCTGCCCTCCTCTTTCCTCATCCCTCCCCCGTCTCTCCTCCTCTCCTCCGCCTTTTCCTCATCTCTCCCCATCTCTTCTCCCCTCTTCTCCCCGCTCCTACTCGAAACCGTCGCCACCACCACCCGCACCATCCCGGTCCTGGAGGCGGGGGAGAACACCACTGGGGCTGACCCCGGAGGCGACAATCCACAGGCTGGGCCCGCGGCCGCGGCCGGGGCCTCGGCTGCCGCCAGAGCGGCGGGTTCGACCTCGACGTCGTCGTCGCCGCCGCCGCCGTTTCGACACCCGTTCCGGGGGCCCTTCTGGAGCCACTCGCTCCACGCGTGTGTCGATGCTGCGTCGAACGTGTGCGCCGACTCGAGCTGGACTTTCGAATTAGCATCGGGCCAGAGACAAAGAGATCCGTCAAGTGGGCCTCAGGAGGGCCCCCCAAACGGATACCTGACGCCGTCGCAGCCGTCGGAGGACAAGGAGTGTCGAGGACCATTGTTCCAAGTTGTTGGGCGCTTTGGTGTATTTCGGGGCGTCTGACGGCGCCCTCGTCGCCACGTCTGATGCCGTCTTGAGACTCAGGATGCCAGAACGCGCCCCAGATAAATCCAGGGATCGTCGTCGCCGTCCTTCTCCTTCACCTGCCTCTGTTGCTCATCCTCCGAATCCTCCAGCTCGTTCTGCGAGAACGTTGACGGACGCAGGGCGTGTCTGTGCGCACGCAGGTGGCAGGATCACGAATACTCTTGACGCGATACAGAACAGCGAGAAGTTAAAGGAAGAACAAGGACAACTAGATCTAGGGCGTAAGGGCGCTCCACGCGAAGACGGGGCCATGTGGAGAAGCAATACCATGACGTGCGACACGATGTGTTCGACGAGGGAAACTATATCCTGCTCATCTTGCTCCTCCCCTGGCAAGAGGTATCGGAGCCTCCGTCCTCCTCGATCCCACACTGTTGTGTGTCTCCTCCTACCCCGTCCTCTTTTCGACGTCCCCCCGTCGTCCTCCTCCTCCACCATCACCACCTCCTATGCCGTCCGCCGGTTCCCTTGTCCTCCTATTTCTCCTCCTCCTCCTCGTCCCACGTCCTCCGTCCTCCGCGTCATGATCCGACCTTGTCCTCCGTCCTCCTCTGGAGTAACGGTTGACGAACAGAATTGATGTTTGCCTTCTCGCCTTTCCGCCTCCGATCGGCTTTGGATGCCTCCGCATAGTTTCGAGACCACCGACAAGAGCCCCAAGACGGGCCCAAGAAGGCCCCAGTAGCGCCCCAAGAAACAACTGTTCGGCATCCGACGGAGGATCGGAAATTCAGCCCCCTTCTTCTCTGACCAATCTAAAAATTAAGCACCCTCAACTCCCCCCAAAAGGGCCCAACACAACCCCAAGAAGGTCCACAGAAGACCCCAAGACAGCCAACACGGCTTCGAGACTGGCCTCAAGATGGCTACAAGAGGCCGCCCTACATATGATTTCGCGACGGTTGGCCGCCTCGCTCACTACATGCTTACCTACGCACACCCCTACTCCAAACAGCTCCCATAAGCATCGCTTCTGGACGGGTCGGTGAGGACACGAGAAGCGTCCGAAGACGGCAGGCCTTCCGTGGGCGCCCCGCGCGGGTCGTCATGCAAGAGAAGGAATGATAGCATCGCATGCGCAACGGTTGCTTACGCATGAAGGACAAAGCCAAGACCAAGGTAACATCGGGTGAACATAAATCGACAATCTCTCGGGCGCCGCGGCCTTCTCAGAGCGCTCCGGAACGCTCCGAGAGTCCTCCGGAGCGCTCTGGAACGAAGACATCCTTCAGAGCATCGACTACATCATGTGCACCAGAATTTCTTTCTTCGTCGAATCTGGAAACAAAGTACGTAGAATGTTCGTATAACTACGGAACACACTACGTATTTGTTCGTAGGCCCGACAAAACAATATCAGTTCTGGGGTAAATGAATGCTGTAGTCGAGCTCCTGTTCGAATCATGGATGTGTCGCCGCGCCGTATGTTCTGAACAAGCCCAAGTACCAAGTAGACGCAGCCGGCACCGCAGCGGACCAGCGGCAAGCCCTGCGTCTGAGGCGGAGGTCGCCCTGGTGGCCGAGGCGCCCTCTCAAAGACGGAGGGCCGCGCGTCGAAACAGACGGCGCGGCGACGTGTACAGCCGAAAGCATGATCAATCAAATCATAATCTAAGAAACATTAGAGGGCTTGTTTTCCACCGCCACCACCATAAGTACGAGGGGGAGGGGGTCCTCCTCCTCTTCCTCCTCCTCCTCCTCCACCCCCTTCCCCCCTCCAACTTATGGTGGTGGTGGGAAACAAGCCCATCAAGCATGGACCAGCTTTCTGGAGGTTTCTTGAGACAGACCTGGGCCGAGCGCTCGCCTTCGAGCTGGAGGGGCGCGCGCGCTCAAGAAGCTGGGCCAGCTTCCTGGCGAGCTGGTGAGGATCCGCTGGCCCAGCGTTTCGGAAGAAGGTTTCTGAATCAGACACTCGACCGGAAACGAACAGTTGTAGTTGGAGTGTTCCACGCTCGGAGCACATTGGCCTGATAGGGCGGGTGAGGCCAATGTGACCCGTTGTGAGAAATGCGCGGCCACAGCGAACGACGGCAAGTCACACCTGATAAAGCTGAAACCTACCTTTGAAGTCGGCAGGGGAGGACGACAAGGTCTTTCGAGCTCTCCGACGGCCATGCCTATCATCGCGTCTGATCGTCGATCCTTACTTGGCGCTTGATTGAGAAGGCAAGCGAAGGAATGCCACAGGGCTGCGCGCTTGCGTAACGCTTGCGAGACATCCTCAAAACACTCCAGGGTACCGCAGAAGACCCGGCCATGGCTGACCGGACCGATGTGTAGAGTGCACCCCACCCAGGAACCCGCGCAAGTGCAGACACTGAGGCGCCCAAATTCTCGCATGTCCCCGTACGCGTGAATCCTTCAGACCCTGGCAGTCTTGCAGCTCTAATCCCCTCCTCGGCTTCCTCCTGGTCCTGTTCTGAGTTGCGGTGGTAGGCCTGCTTTTGCTAGGTTAATTAGGCCCTCGCGCGGCCCGCTCGGACCTTGACTCGCCGTCGGCGCGCTCGCCTTCGGCTGGCAACAAACAAAATACGCGTGAATCCGCGCACACACCGGCTGGCGCGGGTGCAGCGTGCACCGGGCAGCTCAGTGCTGCCAGCCACAGGCGGTCCATGGCCCGAGCGTTCGGACTGAGGCGGCCCGCGCAGCCCCGTCGGATGCGCGCCCGCGGTGCGCAGCTGAGGCTAGAACACAGCTGATGCATTCTAGCATTAAGTCGGGCGTGTCCCCCTACAGGGGGATTTGCGACGAAAAATAAAAAATATTCAAACAATGCTCCAAAATGGTGAAACATGGTCCCCATATTTTTTTACTATTTTTGAATATTCCCCCTGTAGAGGGACAGGCCCGACTTGAGTCTAGCAGCGGTCAGCAATGACCAGGTCGGGAAATTCACGCAAAAAACGGCAAATACCAACAAGAGGCAAGTGACCGTGTCGCTCGTTGCCAAGCTCAGAAGTGCGCAACCGCCAGCCCCCACAAACGGGCCAGGGTCAGAACCTGGTTGTCGAGGGGGCACTGTTCCCCGATCAAAATGGCACATATGCTTTTACATAATGTCAAAAACGCCCTCGACCTGACATCACCTGCCAAACCATATCCATGACACCACTCCTTTTGTATGACCCTCCGCAACCACGTGTGTCACACCACTGCACGTTCTGAATGGTACCGTATCCATGAAATGCCGTGTCAAACGTCTCTTGAAGTGTCAACCAACTGAGTAACGGCTTGCACACATACCCAGAATCGAAAGACTACAAGTACCTTCACTCAGACGCCACCTTCCTCAATGGTATGTTTTCGTACGTATCTCGCCCTCCCCGCGCCCTCCCCCTGCGACCGTTGCAGGCGCAGGCCTCGCGTCGGCGGCCGCTGCCGCCGCCGCCGCGCCCGCGACCGCTGCCGCCGCCGAGGCGCCCACTGCCGCGGCGCCTGGAGGATAAATAGGTGCGATCCTCCTCATCCTCCTTCTCCTCCTCGATCCTCCTCCACCTCCTCGACCCTCCTCCTCCTCCTCCTCCTCCTCCTCAGCGATCCTCCTCCATCCCATTTCCTTATAAATAGCTCCTCCCGGTGGCACCCCGAGACCAGTCGAAAGGTCGGGCCGGGTGTGTCGCCCGAGACGTCCTCACCAATTATGACCCAGAGTATAGAAGTTGGCAACAGCTTCACAGATGGAGGGCGGGTGGTTTTCAAAATGTGGCTTTCGCCTTGGCACCGCGCGCATTCGTTTTAAACAATTCAAGGCGGGTGGTTTTCAAAATGTGGCTCTCGCCTCAGCGCCGCGCAGGTTCGTTTTAACATATAAAAGGATGCCACTTCTTGAGGGGGGTCGTTTTCAAAAAGTGGCTCTCGCCTCAGCGCCACGTGCATTCGTTTACAAAGCTAAAGCTGCAAGAGTTTTACCTATTGAGAGCGGGTCGTTTTCAATATACACTCGTCTTAAGCACTTGCAGGAGTTTCGCGGATAGAGGGCGGCATATTTTCAACATGAGCCGCGCACACTCGTCTTAATCATTTGCCAGAATTCCCCAGATGCTGCTGGTCAACGTGCCAGAAGTGGTGTGTCGGAAGGACTCAGGATTATGAGGGCGCAACAGTTGCGTTGATTCGCGGTGTAGGAGTCCCAGGAACTGTGTTCTGGCACGACTCAGGATCGTCAAGACGCAATCGTCAAATTGATTCGTAGCGTTGGAGTCCCGATAATGGTGTTTTGGTACGTTTCATGATCTTCAAATGGTTGTCTCCCAACGAGGCAATTCCCTCAGTGGAAATGAACTCTTGTAGGGGCCAACAGAGAGAGGGGGGGCGGAGGGAGGGCTTATTCCAACATCGTTGATGATTTTTGGATCTGCACTGGCCCTCATCCTCCCCACCTCCTCCTCCCCAAGTGACAGAAAGGATGCGCGATTAAGGTTGCAAGCCCATTGGACGCACGTGCTGAAGCTTGTGCGAGAGCGGCCGGCGATTGGAGGCAGTCAAGGAGGGACCGAAGAGGCAAGGATGCAAGGGTACACTTGGGAAGGTTACCAAATTATTACCATTGGTTTCGACTGCACTTCCAAGACCTCCCCAGGGGAGCCTCCCGACCAAAATTTCGAGGCGAATCCAGCCGTGGCGACGAGGGCCTCCCGGGAGGCCCAACCAGAAGGCGAACACGAGGCCGAGGTGGCTGCAACGAGGCCCAGGAAGGCGAACACGAAGCCGAGGAGGGCGAAAACGGGGCGAGACCTTCCCTCCTCTGAGCGCCCGCGGCTGCTGCCGCTGCCGAGGCGTTCGCTGCCGCGGCTCCC